TCCCTACATATAAAACAAAACACAATGACAAAATGTAGAATATACAAAATAAACACATTTATACTGTGACTGGTTCACAATGGGACCAACCCAGTTCCAGCAGCAAGCCATCAAGAATTCAACTCAGCTTTGCTTCTCTTGATGCAGTGTAAATTTTGAGCGTGTCTGCTTACCTTGAACAACTGCACTCCAATACAAGCAAACATGAACTGCAGCAGAGTTGTAACAATCATGATATTACCAATAGTTCTAATAGCCACAAAGACACATTGAACAACATGCTGGAAAGAAAGAAAGAAAAAAAAATATTAATACAACTTGTTACTTAGTATCACAGAATACGTACCATAAAAGTCTATTTTATCACATTCAGATTATTTTTCAAAAGTATTGTTTTTGTGCTATCAGTATTATACCTACTAGCATAATTAAACTTGTTTTCTAAATTTGTCTGTACGTTTGTTGACATCAGCACGTCAACATCAAGTGCCTAAAAATTACATAAGCATTATGGAAAAAAAATTAAAATATTGCTCTGGCATGTTGGTTCACAGCAAGTATTACAGTCATAATCTGCTCTCCATGGCATTGGTGTTCCTCCACATACATACAAACTGCTGTAACTCTTGGCAGAATCTGGCCTAATGTGTTTAAGAATCAGGAACTGATTTATGTCCTTGCCCTGTGAACTTCTCTAGGCAATTTTTCTTGTGCAAGAATTTTTAACCTGAGGCAGGACTGAAGAATCAGGCCAACAGAAATATAACTTAAAAAATAAAAATAAACACCTTAAGTCCTTTTGCTCTGTTTATGGCCCTTAGAGGCCTCAAGACTCTTAAAACTCTGAGGATCTTCACAACTGAGATAGCACTTGATCTAGGGGGAAAAAAAAAAAGTTATTCTGTTACTTTTAAGGTAACTGATTTTATTACTAAGAATAACAATGTTCTTGCAACTTCCTTATACATGACATTCCAAAAAAGTCTCAAGATATATATATGTATACAGGATTTTTTTAAAGTATTTCTTTATTGATCCTTTACTAATATTAGAAAATAGTATCAATATTAGAAAATAGTATCAATCTCATAAACACCGTAAGAATTATTTCGATTTCTGGAGCAACTTGGGAATTAACAGCTCAGAAGCTTGTCTGACACTGTAAAGCAGTTAAGTTTGGCCAGGAGCAAAACAGTCCCCAAAGTATTTTTCAGTGTTGACAAGCTCTTTCGAAGACATTGTGTAAGACCTGTAAATCAATTAATACCTTAATTTCCAACCAGCTGGAGATGAAAAGATCTCGAATGACTCACATTCTCTTTAAGTAGCTAGGACTGGATTTTGAAGAAGTAATAGCAGACAGCCTTTTAAAGAACAGACTGTGAAACTGAAAGCTTGTGTAATAGGTATTCTAGTACAAGCAGAATACAAAATAGGAAGCAGCTGACTGACACCCAGCCCTTGCTCTTTTCTAAGTCACTAAGGGTTTCACAGATTATTTTAAACAAGGCACAACTGCTCAGTGAATCAATAAGCACCTTCAGACTTTTATTATGTTTAGCCTGATCCAAACAAAGCAAAAAAATCTTTTCACTACCACTTACAGTGCTGATTAAGGTACAAATTTGTCTCCCCTTCAAATACTGTCAAGTTACACATCCCAGTAGATCAATGCTGAAAAAGCAAGCTCATAGAACTAGATTGTAGATGTAGCAATAGCACAAAAGAAGGTATATAAACCTACTGAAGCTCCAGGAATTATTTGCTGATGTCAACTTACTTCGTGCCTATTTCAGGAGCAGATTTTTGTATCTACTTAACACCAGTTCAGAAGTGCTGGTTAGTGCATTGTTGTTTATTTCTCATTTATAAAAGTCAGTTAGTAGCAAAAGAGACCATTGTGCAAAGCACTGTATAAACATATGCATCATGCTGTTCATTTCATCCCCTCCTCTGCTGGTGAAGGAATGGGTCTCATTTGCCTCTTCGTGCTGAGATTGGTGTCCTTGGTGTACTGGTTTTGGCTGGGATAGAGTTCATTTTCTTCCTAGTAGCAGGCATAGTGCTGTCTTTTCGATTTAGTATGAGAAGAATGTTGATAACACACTGATCTTTTAGTTGTTGCTAAGTACTGCTTATGCTAGTCAAGGACTTTTCAGCTTCCCATGCTCTGCCAGGTGCGCAAGAAGCTGGGAGGGGCCACAGCACGGAGAGATGA